CTGACACACCTGAAGGCTGTGCTGCCATTCAGAGAGACCTGGACAGCTGGAGAGTTGGGCGGGGAGAAATTTAATGAAATACAACAAGGGCAAGTGTAGAGTCTTGCATTTGGGTAAGAACAACCCCATGTACCAGTGCAAGTTGGGGACTGAACTGTTGGGGAACAGCACAGGGGAAAGGGACCTGGAGGTCCTGGTGGACAGCAGGATGACCATGAGCCAGCAATGTGCCCTTGTGGCCAAGAAGGCCAATGGCATCCTGGGGTGTATTAGAAGGGGTGTGGTTAGTAGGTCGAGAGAGGTTCTCCTCCCCCTCTACTCTGCCCTGGTGAGGCCGCATCTGGAATATTGTGTCCAGTTCTGGGCCCCTCAGTGCAAGAAGGACAAGGAACTGCTTGAGAGAGTCCAGTGCAGGGCCACAAAGGTGATTAAGGGAGTGGAGCATCTCCCTTATGAGGAAGGACTGAGGGAGCTGAGTCTCTTTAGCTTGGAGAAGAGGAGACTGAGGGAGGAACCTCATTAATGTTTATAAATATGTAAAGGGTGACTGCCATGAGGATGGAGCCAGGCTCTTCTCACTGGCATCCAATGATAGGACAAGGGGAAGGGGATATAAGCTGAAACATAGGAGGTTCTGCTTAAACATGAGGAAGAACTTCCCAGTAAGGGTAACAGAACAGTGGAACAGGCTGCCCAGAGAGGTTGTGGAGTCTCCTTCTCTGGAGATGTTCCAAACCCGCCTGGACGCGTTCTTGTGTGGTCTGATCTAGGTGGTCCTCCTCAGGCAGGCAGATTGGACTAGATGATCCTTTGAGGTCCCTTCCAATCCCTAACATTCTGTGATTCTAAAATACTTTTAAATGCTGCTCTGTAAGGTAGCAAGTTCCAGCACTGTCCAGTGTCAGGTTCACTCCCTGAACTTAGACTGCTTTCTGTGACCCTTTTCAGAACTGAGAAGCCATCACACAGCTACATCCAGTTCCTAAAACTAATGTTGAATTTACAAGATTTTTAGAAATAGGAACAGATGCTTCTCAGACTCCTGTCCTTGCAGCCAGTTACAGATATTTTGGGGTAGAAGGGATGTTGTAGGATTTCTTATATATTTAGGAATATAAGGTTGAAGTTACCGTATATTTTCTAAGGTATAAGTTTTCTTTCATATTATTTGGAAGATGTAAAGGTTTTAAAAAAAATATTTACAGACCCGGAGGGGTGATTCAACATCACCTGCTGTATATATTATCTACAAAAATCATTGCTGTGTTTGGGGCCAGCTTAGACTGCAGCTTAAAGTTTCTAGGCTAGATCTTGGCCCCTGGTTGAAACACCCTTCTTGCTTCTAATAAATAATCCTGAAAAATAACATTGTATTATACATATAGTATATCACAGTTCAGTGTTTAGAAGTGCAAGCAATTAGTAATTCTCTGTTGTGTTGCATGCTTGCTTTCCAATGTCATTAGTGTCCTAGTACATTTGAGAGTGTAGGTCAATACACTGTGTTCATTTTGACATCTAAGGAAAAGTCCAGAAGCTTGAATACTTTTCTTTTAACATTTTCTTAAATCATAGTTTTGTGGTGTAAAGGATAGAAAAGTAGAATGATAAACTGTTGTGTGTGTACTGACAGATTTTGGTGTTTGTTTCAGAGTAGGCTAATAACACAAGAACATTCTTTAATTGGAAACAAATTGTGAGAAAACAACTAAGACTTCTCATTGTGTTACACTGTTTTATTCTATATTATCCTATATTCTATAAATATTATCCTGTGAATGTTTGTTTTTTATATTACGCCAGTATTTCCAGTGGTCCGACACAAAAACCAGGCATCTTTATCAGCAATGTTAAACCGGGTTCTCTTTCAGCTGAGGTGGGCTTAGAGGTAAGTATGCCACCTTCCAAGGTAGGTACCACAAGGAATTCTTGCTTGGTATTTACTACTTCAAGGATTCTGGGTCACTGTGAAGCCACTAGCTGTGTTTTTTTTTCCTGTGGGAGAGAAATACTGTGTGGTTACATTTCAAATGTAGCGAGTTTCCTAAATATGAAGAACATGAGAAATGCCCTCCTGCATCAGACTGGTAGTCCATTGAGCTCAATATTCAGTCTCAACCAGTGGAGACGGGAAACGCTAATATGGGAGGATGTGCAGGCCTGGCCAGTTTCTGGTCTCTTCCCCTAATATTCTGCCAGTACCGATGATTATTGTGTTGAGAATTTTAGAGTATATCTTTTTCTGTTTTCATTTCATATATGTACTCGTTTAGAATTTGTACTAAAATCTGGATTAACTCCTTCAGGTTGGTGATCAGATTGTTGAAGTAAATGGAGTGGATTTTTCTAATGTGGATCATAAAGAGGTAAGACCAAGTCTTCCTGATTCCCCAGATACGTAGTTGTCAGCTTATTAAGCATCTGTCTGATTTTCCTGGCTGCGAAATATATGTTTTGATATTGGGCTACTTAACCAAAGAGGTTGTGTATTGAACATGGGAATTTGAATGCCTGCCACCTTGTTTACTTCAGGTAAAGTCCTCTGGAAATTCCAGCCTTGACAACCAACATCTTTCATCCTATGTATACATGCCTTTTGTCACTTAATTCAGGCTGATTTTTTGTTTCATTTTAATTTACAGGCTGTCAGAGTGCTCAAAAGTAGTCGTACTTTGACTATCTCTGTGGTGGCTGGTGCTGTAAGTAGTATATTTATAAAAGCAGAACATTTATGAAAATTACTATGTGGGCAAATAAATGGTAAAAATAAATAGATAAGAAGTAAAGCTGTGTTTCATAATAATGTCTATAGCACTGAATTCTGTCAAACCAGGGCAGTGTTGAGTGGCTTTTGATTATTTCGTCACTAACTATCAACAATATTCTCAACTAGAACAGTTCCATCACTGTGGGCCAGTGCAAAACCATTCCCTTGAGAGGGAATGGAAATTAACTTTATCCTAATAGTTTCTCATGTTTGAAAGCTTCTGTTCTAAGAGATAGCTGCTTCTGCCAAAACATGAAAGGTGAATTGATTGGAGTAAATTAATTTTTCCTTGTGAATAGCTGATGTGTTAGTCTTATTCAAAATTAATTTCTTGTGTAACTGTTTATCTGATCTCTTTAGCGTCTCAACACATTGAAAATTGTTCAATTTTCCGCTGTTTTATACAACAGAAGTATACACCTCTGGGTCCTAATATAAAGACAAATGAAATTAATTAAATCTTCCCACTAATTTCAATGTGGTTTTTGAGAAGTATGTTAATGTTTTTACTGCTTTAATCCTTCTTATAGAAAAACGAATAGTTATGTACAAGAGGATACTCAATTTCCATAGACTAATCAGAGTAATTTGTAATTGCCTTGCAATTGAATTACATAGGGAAAACAAGACTTAATGAATCTTTTAAGCTACTTCCTAAGGGCTCTTGTATACTGTGTAGCTACATTAAGGAGTTCATGGTTTAATTGAACTACTCTTACAGTAAGGAAGGATGCAATTGTCCAAAGTCATTGTAGCCATTGTTTAAACAAATGCTCCAGACTATTTGATTAAGCTCCAGGAACTCAACATCTTAAGGACTTAGTTTCAACTCTCAGATATTTTACTGTTAGAAAAGATGGGATCTACTCCAGCATGTACCACTGGGATCGTATCCTTAAAATGGTGAATTTTTGATGTGGAACTCTTTTGCTCCACCCTACTTCACCTTGTGTGTCTCTGGTTTCTTCAATATGCGCCTCTGTACTGAAGAAGAGGTTGCAGAAAGAAACAGCTTCCTACTCCTGTTTTTTGGTCAGCAAAGGCGTTCTCTGCTGCCCGTTTTTGTTTGAGCTGTCTGCTTTGAGCCTTAGAGATGTGAAAAATTCTGCTTTCCTCATTGATGTGGTATTTTAGTTTCAGTAATGAAAATTAGATAAATTTTATCAAAGTATTCCACAAATAGCACCATGGAGATATCTTTCTTGAATACAAGAGAGTGCTGGTGTCTTAATTGTAAAGCAAACAAAGCAGGAACAAAAACAACTGAAACACATCAACTATATAACCTTTTGGCAGTGTGTGTTCCCTGCATTCGGATTCCCTGAATTGATGGTACATTTCCACAGCAGCCAGGCACAAGAGCATTAAAATGCAGTACCTGCGTAGTCTTCCACATTGGGATTCATTCAGTGTGCTATTCTCTAACATTGCATTGTTCAGTCAGATTTCAAGAAAGTATAGTGTGGAGTTTTTCCTGGGCGACACACTGAGCATGTCTTTGGCATGACCCCTACACTGTTGTTGCTGACTTTAGTAGTTGCGTGCCTCTTCTGAGGTGTTTAGCACATCCTAACTTTGAGACTGAAATGGAACTAGCTCTTTGGAATGGAGTGGTCAGATCTTTCAGGGCCTTTCAGAAACCATTCCTCAGAAAAAGTAATGTGAGGAAATGGCAGATGTGCGAGTACATCATCGGTTTTGAATTATTTCCTAGAAGAACTACTACATTCATGAGACTTTTTCACAACTGATTTGGGTGGCGGTTCTGATTGCAGGGAAGGGAGCTGTTCATAACTGAAGAAGAAAGACAGAGAGAAGCACGTCTTCGTGAGCAAGAACGTCAGGAGTTAATGCATCAGAAGCGACTTGCACTGGAGACTAACAAAATCATCAAAGAGCAGCAAGAGAAAGAGAGACTGTAAGGGCTCTGCGTAAGACAGTCTGAAAAATTTTGTTTGGATTTGGAACAACTGTGAGAAGATTCCCAACTTAGATTAATTTAATTTTGCTGTTGCAGAGTCTCTGTTCATAAATCCTTATCCTGTGGCACTCTTGATATTCTGGCTTTTCAAAGCTGATATCATTCAAATACATTTTGAGTAGAAGGGTCGCTTTATTCCCTGACTGTCATATCCCTATGATTCAGTCTGATACTCTTCATTTTCCTGATGCTATTCCCTCATCCTTTATTTTTAGCAGCGCAGTTACAGATTTTTCTGCTCTTACAATAACAGACTATGGAACTGTTGCAGAAGGAGATAGTGACTTACAGAGTTAAATAGATGATGTGCTGTTATTATCCAGATGGTCATGAATGTCCTCGGGGTTCCTATGAAAGTGTGTTGAACCCTTGGTATCTAAAAGATGACTTTTAAAAACAAGCATTTTTCCCCAATGCTTATGTATTTACTGTCTATATCTTTTTACTAATTGTACACTGACACACTTTGTGCAAGTTCTTACTCAGAAAATATTATTTTTATCATTGTGTCCTCATTCCTCTTATTATAGAAGAAAACTGGAGATTTCCCAGAAGGCTGCAGAGGAAGAAGAGAGATATCGCAGAGAAATAGAGCAGTAAGTGAAAACCTACATAGGCAATATGTTGCCTGAATAAGGGTCCTTATATATTAGATCTGACTGAAAACATTTTGTGTATTCTTTTGTAATAAAGTTGTATATATTTCCATTTAGCTAAATATAGGCTCCAATGCATTTGAGTAAGTATACCACATTTACGGAATAGGAACCTGATCTGGAAATCAGCACCTGGAAAACATGAGGGTTATGGTGATAATAAATTCAATGTGAAATTGAAATTGGGTGCTTATTTTCAAAATATGTTATAAATGTATAAGGCAATTTAAGATTAAGGGAGTTGTGTATTTCAAAACTTGTTTACTCTGTTGTCACTGAACCACTACATTTAGATCTAACAGAAGGAAAAAAAGAAACTAATACTTTAAGGAAAGGGATTGGAGAAGAAACAGTGAAGAATGACTAAAGACCTGGAAAACATGCATATACCTGGGGGCTTGATGACATGTCCACTTAGCTTATATTTTTTAAAAAACAAAACAAAACAAAACACAGGTAGTTTGTTCACTGTCTGTAAGAGTGTCCACAGCGTGGAATTTAATCTATTTTTCAGTCTATCAGGCAGTTCTGAAAACAAAAGCTCTCTCAATTTAGACTAAGATAAGGACTATGTGTTGCTTATTGTCTTGAATAGGAATTTCGGTCATCGTAATTTTTACATAGGCTTTTGATTTTCTAAGGAGAGAAGTAATTAAATTAAAACTGTGACACTGAAAGCAGGAAGTTCTATAACCTATTTTATTCAGGAAATCTGATTTTTATTGTCAGTCTATTCTGGTTTTAAAAACCTGTGATTCTCTAGGAACTAGACATATTCAAAGATGGTATCGTCATAAGGTCGATACTGTAAATGTAACTTAAGCATTTTTTTACATTTGGAACTGTAAAATTAACCAGTATAACATGTTGTTATCACAGTAATTCATTTTCTTTCTAACTGACATTGGGAAATTGCATGAAAGCATAAAATTGCACAATATCTGTTCTGATGCATCCTTTTAGAGCTAAGATTAACTCTGAAGTATTCAGCTTTGCACCTTTGACATCTTAAACAGTTTTTAATTCATATTCATTCACTTAAGTTCCTTTTCATGTACCTGTATTAGCTAAAATTCTCTGATAGAAATGAAGTGCAGGTATTTCTGAATCTGTGAGGTGCAGAAGGGATATCTTCCCCAGCTGTCACAAGAGAAAAATCTCCTGACAGACCTGCTGTGGGCTCTACTGCAGCACACGGATGAATTCTTTCAGTCTGTCCTTTTCTAATTCCTGGGGAATAGATAACATCCTGTTCCTTATTGTGGTCTGCTGTAGAAATTCCCACAGTAGCCATGGAAAGTGGCTGTGAAAGCAGACTGTCACGGGTGAAGAACGATTCCTTTCTCTAAATCCAAATTGCCTGTCTGTTATAATCAATGTTCACTATCTGCAGTATCCTTCCGAACTAAGTGTGTCTTTACTCACTCAGTGAGGACTTTTGTGGTTTGGCTGCCTTGAGAGCTGTTCATTGTAAGGTTTAGCACATCTTCCTTCTATGATTTCCAAGTGCTGCTTGGACACTTGTTAAGTTTTTCTTAGTACAACTCAAACTGGTGAAGTCAGTGTCAGTCTCCTTGGTGTAGGGGAGGGAGAATGGTAGTGTAGGAATTTAGATATTGTAAAGCTTTGATTTAGAAAGTAATTGCAGGCAGGCAGTTTCACTAGAATATAATGCTTTCCTATATTAACAATCTGTGAGGATGACCCTTTGCTCCATTTTTAAAATCCTTTCTGCAGGAATTCCTTGTTTAAAGTCACTGTGCCCTTTATTAGTATCCTGCATATATTTAAGAAAAAATTTCAAATGGGCTTGGATGTCAGAGGTCCTTAACTCTGTATACTTCAAGTTATATTGTTACCCCGTTCCTTCTTTTAATTAAAATGAAGTGTAATAAGTAATCTAATCATTCTGTCCAAGGTTCCCTGCTATTGATTATACCTGCAAATTTAAGTACTGATCTCAGCTGCAGATTTAAGTAATTTGACCACATGTGGATATTTTTTTAAATTTGCCTGAGCTAAGTTAGAGATGCAAAAGATAATCCAAGTATAAATAGCATCATATATATCTAAAACCTGATAAATTTTGGCACGTGTATCAGTTTACCAGTTCATGATAGACTACAGCCAAGAATAGAACTTGGATCACTTAAAGGCACCATATATGCAGCTACAGGCTATTAGGTTATACAGCAGTTCTCCTGTGATCTACTTGGGACTCGCTGAATTTTCCTTCAAAATATCCTTTTTTTGGTCATGGTTTCTTTTCAGGTACCTTCTAGGTAATTTCCTTGGTTTATGAGCATCTTTGCCCTGAAGGGTGGCAATTCTCTTTTTTTCTGCTTTTCCTGTCTTTTTCCTTTTTTTTTTTTTTTGGCATTTTTTCTTTTTTTTTTTTTTTTTTTTTAATCTAAAATGCTGAATTTAATGTGTTTTTTACCTCATCACTATTTAGGTTTTTTTGAGAACAGTCGCTTTCTATTGTAACTGAGGACTATATGTTTAAGAAGCAATCATCAAATGGTGATAAGATACAGAAATAAGTCACACATTTTTATATATACAATTTGCCATTGTAACACCTGATTTAGGCATGTGGTAGATGTTCTGTCGATTACTATTTTAGTTAAAACTGACTGACTGTCTAATAGATACTTCCTAGTTCTAAAAATGAAAAAAAAATAGATGAGATTGTTTTTGGCTTTAGTTAAGGTGACAGTAAGTATTGTAGTGTATCACTCTGGGCTTAATATCTGTGCAAGTGTTTCTATAACTGGCCTTAGAAGTCTTAATATTAAATAAAAATGTGTTACTCAGTTATGTTCCGTTTTACAAATTATCTTAGTAGCTTAGTAAATGAAACTTTGATTAAGGGAATTTGGTTTCGGGGAAGAGTCAGTTTATTATGCTTTATATTAAAGAGAAAAAACCAAACATACTGAACACTAAATAATTAAAATGAATTTATATTGATGCTGTTGGGTTTATACTCAGAATTCCTAGTTGTGTTTTTCTTTTTCCTATAGGATAACAGCAGAAGAAGAGAAATTTAAAAAGGAGTGGGAAGAAGACTGGGGTCCTAAAGAACCTCCCAAATCCCTAAAAATTGTAACTGCAGAAGTGCACTCTGCCCCTCGTTCCAAACACAAAAGTAAGTAATGGATTTCGATCTACTTCCTAGGGAAAGTATTTGTTTCAGACACATCACTGAGCTGTATGAAATACATCACCAGTTGGTTTCCAAGTCAAGCTAGCTATGACTTTATTATTTTCAGAAGGCTGGAAGCATAAGATAAATTAATTTAATAGCTCTTATTTAACAGGTACCTAGCTGATAAAATCTACATCCGGTCAAACTGTCATGGTTTTTAACAATCAGCAACAGCAGATGGGGGAGGGGGGAAGCTTCCTAAGAAATTGTCTGAAGTATCGATCTGCTTTCCATGTTGTTTCTGTTCAGTGTTTAGCTTGTCAGCCTTTTCCAAGAGCAGTTCTTGCATCAGTAGACTTGTGCTGATTTCCACTACATGCCTGAAAAGAAGTAGCACTGTGATTTTTATATTATATGTGATTATATTTTTATGTCCATATGGATAAGCTGATGTTCAAATGCTGTTATACACATATAAGCGCTTTTGTCTCAGTGAAGAAAATATTACTTACAGTAATAAGTAATACTTTAGATTTTATGGGCATTTTGTTACTGGTTTTGTTAATTTTGAAAATGAAGGTATGAAGAAGGGGAGACAAGTGTTGTTATTCTTTCATTTGGAATTAGCTTTGAGCTTTCTTCATTAATCATACCAGTAAATAATTTAACATCATTTTTATATTTGACAGGAGATTTTGAGAGGTGAGATGTTTGAAGGTAGAATACTAGTACTAGATTTGCAGTCTCCTTTGGAGTGAACGAATGCACTTTGTACTATTCCTCCTGTTACCTTTTTTCCTTCTCCTTTACTCTAAATCAGTGTGGAGATGAGAGGTTTGAGTATTTTTGTCTGCTTGCTTCTAACTGGAAAAGATAGATCCCTGCTTTTGGCTTGGAACAAATTAACTCAGTGTTTCATTTCCAGAAAAATCTAAAGATCTTTTCCCCTCATCTCTTCTTCAGGACCTCGATCCTCTCTTAGTTTGGCAGTCTTTGGGTGCTGTAGGAATGTTTTGAAGTTCCCTTGCTTCTCTTCCATGCGGAGGAGTAAACAACTTAATATATTGAATGGGATCAAAAAATGCAACAGAAGCCATTGTTGCAAAACAACAGTAACACACTAGACAAAAAAGAGAAAAATTAAAGGTTCTTAAGAATCAGCAATTTTTTGAAAGTGTTTTTCCTAGATCTTTTGACAAATTGCTTTCTTGCCATCATACCTTTCATATCTAATTCACTCCTTCTCAGGCTAAGGTATTTACCACATCATTTTTCTGCATATTGTTTTTCTTCAACTTTCTTGAAAATGAAATTATGATGATGGCATAGTGATGTTTACAACTGTTGCAAAAATAATCTTCCATGCTAAGAGCTTGGGTAGCAAAGCATGTAAGCATGAACTAATTAAAAAAGTGCAATCAGAATGTCCTAGTGACCTAATCGTAAGAAAGCTAGGCAAATTTCTAAGAATTTGCAAAATTCAGGCATCTGTCTGTGAGGTCCTGTGTGTAGTAGCAGATCTGTTAATATCTTGAATAGACCATCTGTCAGAGTGGAAAAAAATCCTGCTTTTTCAAATGTGGGTTACTGGTAGACTTTGAAACAAATTTTCCTTACTTTTTGGGGTTTTTTTTCCTATTCTCTTCCTACTATCATTTTCCTTACTGAATCTGTCTTTTTTTCCTCCCCTGTTCTCCTTTTTCCTGTCTTTTTCCTTTTTTCATCCATTGCAGCAAATCTTTCACGAACAGGCTGTAGTCTGCACAGCCTGAGCATTAATTTAATATCACTGGGCAGTCTGCCTCAGAATTAGTCAAGACTGAGGAGGTACTGTTTGTTCACTGCAACTTTTCCACAAAGAATTGCCCTGAAGTGAAAGTCAGACTTAGTTGACCAAGAGAATTTAAGCCATTTGAAGCTTAATTGGCAGTTAAGAAGCTAAGTTGGGAGCTACGGATAGTATGTGGAGAGTGTGCTAAAATGGTATTAGACAAAGGAAAAACTGGAAAGTGCTTGTGGAGCAGATATTGCATAACTTAAAGGACACCTGGCTCAGTTCCTATCTTTGGGGAAGCCACTTAACTTTTCATGGATGAGAAACTGAGATGGGGAAATGTTTCTTCTGCAATCACCTTTTATACGTTTAGTTTTCTGGTTCCTCAGAACAGGGTTTGCTCTCTGTGGTGCTTAGCCTAGTGACTGGGCAGTAGAAGGCTGATAGTTCTTTCTGAAGCCAATTGATGATGGTTTAATTAGAGGAAAAGTCACATACCTCTGCAGGCTTCCCTCCATAGCAGAGCAGACTAATTGGCCATATGCAGATCTTCACTGCTCTTCAGGGCTGAAGGAGGTTGGAAATTGATTTGATTTAAACAGAACCTCAGGGTTTTGTTGTTTTCAATTATGTGGCAAAATATCCTGTTGCTAACTTCTTTTTATTTCATGGAAACTTCTAGTCACGCATAGCTGATCTCTTTTTCATTTCATGGGAACTTCTAGTTAGACTGTCATTTCTGTCTCCTTATTCCTTTCCTCCTTTGTTTCTCTAGTAGATTTAGAGGGAGTTGAACATGACCAACTTGAAACAGATGACATGGATGAAGTGATCATGAAGCAGGACAAACAGGTTTGCTGCTCAGCCTTAACTTCCTGTCCTGATTCGGAGTCTTCCTGTGTTTCCCTTCCTCCTGACAGTCAGTCTTGACACTGATCATTTGGTTTTGCAAGGGCAATATGTGTGGTCCTTTGGTAACCGATGAAAGGTTATGACACTGTTGCTGTCGTTGCTTTCTAAAGACACCTTGATACAAATACAAAATCTGTCAATCCTACAGAAAAGTGGATTGTATTGAGCGTTGTGTGCACTGTTGGTGTTTCTTATATGAATTTATGGTAATTAATACTTTTGTATGTTTTTACTTAGCAATGTGGGTTTTAGTATTTATGCACTTGGCTTGAAATATTTTTTCCTAGGAAAAGGAGCTTTTCTTGTCTCTTCAAACACCTGTGTGTTCTGCTGCAAGCTTGACCGCGTTTGAATACTTGTTTCATTTTGAGAAGGCTTGTTAAAACCAGTATAAAGTAGGACTGTGACCACAGAAATCTTAGCGGTGCATATGACTGTATGATTCTGTATGAAGATTACTGGTTGCATTTGCTTTACTTAACATAAAATGTGTATCAGTAAAATAAGGGTAACTTGTGACTAAACGTACTAGCACAACTGACCAAGCATTCATCTAAAAACTTGTCATGTGATATCAAACCTTTGGTGTTGCGCCTTCAAATAAATTTTAATTGGTTACATGTACAGGCATGGATTGATCTTATTCTGAAGCAGTCCTTGACTTTTCTTAAAAAAAAAAAACTTTTCCTTTGCCTTTTTGTAGCTTTTGGATGGTTTTATCGGTATGAAGGAAAATTTCCCACAATCCGCAAGGTACAGAGTTTGATATGTGAATTTGTTTGCTGTGCGTTTCAATTTTAATTCCTCTCCTCTCTTCTTCTCTGTTATTATTAGACATTCTTTATGGTCAAATGCTTCTTTTAGTGTGTGCACAAATTAAGGTGCGTTCGGGTGCCTAGGAGTTTGTCCTTTTGAATACTTCGGACTTTTTGAGTCCTGCCAGCTGCAGTGGGAAGTACATGCCAATACTTTACAGAAGGTGTTGAGTACAGGTGGGCAGTGCATGTCTCTATGTTCACCAAAAGTCTTCAGAATAATGTATAAAAAAAAGTAAAGACAAAAATTCAATGGGAACCAAGTATGCAGTTCCCAGTTATACCCTTGCAAATCTCCCAGTAAGAGGAATGTTGAAGGCAAGAAGCTGTTAGGGTAGAAACTAGATGATCTTGAAGGTCCTTTCCAACCCAAACCATTCTGTGTACATCACACAGAATAAGCAAAACCAATTGAAAATCTTTAAGCTTGATAGAATACTTCTATGTCTGTAGAGTTGCTGTTAAAGTATTGCAATTTCAAATTATTAGAGTTTCAAATAATACTTTATTCCTGCTAAAAAAAATTCTCTTTATTTCCTTCAGTGTATATTGGCCATGCTGTAGGGTTTTTGTGGTTGTGTTGTGTATTTTGAGGGGTCTTTTTTGTGATGATTGATGGTAGTTAACTGGGGTAGAAGTGTCAAGGAGAGTTCATACATCTCTCCTGAGAAATCAAGGTTTCTGAGGGGGTCAGAATTGTATCTGACAGGTGAAATATTTGGCACCGTTTAGGACTATTACTTTAACCTTCTGTGTGGACAGGAAATGGCTCCTCTTCTTAATAGAGAATAGGAAATGATGGTACACTCTGATACCGTTTTGTATTGCTAGCAACTGTAAATCATCGTGGATCTGTATCTTATGTGAAAGCCAGCAGAGTTAGGATTTCTGTCTGAAAAGTGTAAGTTCATGTTATGAAAGCTCAGTCTCTTCACACAAATAGGTGATCTTCTGTGTTGCTGCTGACAAAGAGAGTGTAGAGAGCATCCAAATAGCTTTTAATATAGTAATCAAGGTCTTACCCAGTTCCTGTTGAACTCTACTTCACAGTGTGGACTAGAAGCTTTTAGAAATATTTTAGAAATATTTTTAAATCTGGAAGTGATGAATTTTCATCCTACTCCGAATAACTAATTGCTTTTTTGTTTTGTTTTAAACCCAAAATTTCACTCTGTACTAAAAATGTTTTTAATAGGAAGTAAAATGAATCCATGGGGAAAATGGGTGGAAAGGATGACTCATCCTGTTGTATCTGAATGCAGCTGAGATTGTCTGATACGTGTTCGTATTCTGGAACACTTTGGCATGTGTACTGCTAAGTGTGCCTTTAAATTCAGTAATTTTTCAAATGTTGATACCTAGCAGATTGACCTGCCAGATGTTACATTTAGTAGACAGAACTAAATGTATCTTCTAATTTATCAGAGAATAATATCAGCAATTGTTATTAAGGTACAAACTAATTAACCTTGAACAAAACATGCCAACAGAATGTTTATGTTAAAACATTAGTGTGAAAAGCTAGATGCTTTTTTTACTTAAAATGTTTTAAATATTTGTCTATTTATTGATTTTTTTTTTTTTTTTCCCCAAACCTGCACCACTTAACCATGAAGCAATAGACAACATCCCACTGAACACAGCAGTACAAAGTTCCAATTCACTACTTGACTAGGAGAAATGGCTTTTGTACTGCCAGGGAAAATATCTGTTTTCCAAGGCTTTATTAATATTATATGTAAAATGTAGAAGGAAGACAAATAATGCTATGTAAGCTGAATCATGGTCATGCTTTGAATTCCCAAAACTACCATGAAAAGTCAGTAGCTGATGGTAATGACCAGAGCAAAATCAAACCTGAAGCTTAGCCTCTCTGGGCACTGGCAGTAAATGACAAGAAGTGGCCAGCTGCTCCCCTTTTCACTTTTTGATGAATAAAAGACTTGGCTTTCAAATGTGAACTAGGCCTTATCAGTACAAATGGGGACGGGTGGCAGAAGAGTGACATTTTTAAAGTAGAAATAAGGAGCAGGGTGTATTTCAAAGGCAGCAGAAACAGAGGCTCCAAAAAGGCTATGTAGTTTTCCTCTTTGGTTGCATTCTACGTGTAAAATTTTAGAGTTGTTTTGTGCTGTATTAGTTCACTCACGTGAGTAGATTTTATCCAATGCCATTCAGTTTTTGCACTGATCTAAGCCTTTCCTTTGTAATTGCTTATTTCTGTTGTGTTAAGGCATGCAATGCTGGTTTTAGGACATATGCATGAAGGTATTGTGTGCATAGAATGTTCACATCTGCCTATACATGAGCATCTGTCACCTGAAAGCAGTCACTCATGTTTATATAAAAATGCCAGAACAGAGAGATGGCAAATCAAAACCTAACCAAAACTCTTTGAATATTAAAGGTTTTGTAGTGGGCCTGTGTTGTATCTTTACAGAGCAGCAAAAATTTAAACTGTCCCATCTTGCCTGACTTACATTAGTGTGCACAGGCCCTGCAAATAAAGTATAATTTCCTGCAAATTACTGGGAAAATGGACTTCAGATTTTCTTTTAAAAGATCATCCCCATACTTGCACATAAATTTTCAAGGTGGGCACTCATGTACTGAGCTTAAAGTTTGTGAAGTTTTTAGCTGATGTAAAAATCTGTTTAATAAAAAAAAAAACAAAAAAAAACCAAAACCACTAAAACTTCCCAGAAAGGGAAAGAAAGGAAGAAGTCAGAAAGTGACAGTCTGTGTGAACAGAAGAAGAATAAAAAGGAAATGGAGTTTGAGCAAAAACTTGCCAAAGAGAAAGAAGGAATGTTGGAGAAAGAAAAACAACTGAAAATAAATCGTCTTGTGCAAGAGGTATGTGTTCTCCTATCAAGTGCAAAGTAATATGGAACGAAAATTAGCTGAATCTTTAGTGGAATTATCCCACCCAAGTGGGATGCTTGTTTAATTATGTCAAAGATAATGAAGTTTAAAAAAAATTACTGTTTCATTGCAAAACTCTGTTCCCATGTTTGTTTGTTTCTACAGTCAGTTTTTTGCCCACATGACAATACCTCTCCTATTAATTAATGTCCATGTATAGTGATGAATTTAATGAAAGACAGCAAAATAGGAAATAATTCTCAAAAGCATAATTAGTTTTAAAACTAATTTAAATGACATTTCATACTTTTGAAACGTTTGTATTGTAGCTGTGCCTATAACTTTTTTTCATGCACTGATGTTACGGTTAAGGTATCTGAGACAGAACGAGAAGACCTGGAAGAATCAGAAAAGGTGCAGCACTGGGTGGAAAGACTTTGTCAGACACGGTTAGAACAGATATCCTCTGTGGAGAATGAGTCTCCTGAGGTAAAATTCTGACTTCTCCTTATGTTCTGCTAAAGAACTCGCTAGTTACCTCCTAAAAGCAATGGGTTTTTACCAAAGAAAAGTCTGTCTTGATATTTTCCTCTCAGCCTTCATTCTAAGGTGGGGTGGGGGGGGCGCAGGGCAAGTTTCAGTAATTGATGAGTTACAATCTGTAGCATTTGCTGTTCCTATATTTTATGGAAATTTTTTTAGTATTTTAATCAACTGGTTTTATTTTGTCCTTTTTATGTATATTATCACCACAAAATTAACAATTTTATTGGCTCGTGAGCTGTTTGGGCTAGGTGGGACATGCTACCAATAATAAAACTGAGACTAGAATATCCAGCCATATTTTTTACTATCCTATACAAATAAGAACATCGTTGATGATGAGCTCTTAGATGCTTGCTTGTATTGTAGAATAAATGTACAATTTAAGAAAATGACAAAAAGATAAGAAACTCTCAAAGAACAGAGTTTGGTTTTGTGTTTTAAATAGTCCCTTTAAACGAAGGGAGTTGCAGATAGTGATTGTGCCTTAGAGCCTGATGGTTCTAGATGTGGAATGAGGCTTTCCCACCATCCTGCTGCTCTGGCTCTCTTCCAAGCACAGCTGCTTTCAAGAGGAACACTGCAATCTGCTGAACTCCCCCCGGGATCCCCGAGAAATTGCAACCACAAAGGGAACCCTTGGGGAACACTCTCGCATGAATTTCCTTCAGGTCAATGTGGAGCAGCTCTGAAAAAAGCGGCTGGTCTTCTGTTCTTCTTGGCCTCAGGCTTGGATCCATGTGGTTCTTCAGTGCAGGTCTCCAGGACAGTGGAATGATTACGCTGAGTTTTCTCTCACTACCTAAATTTGGTTGCCTGTGTTCTGCTACATCTTTGTCCCCCTTACTTTGTAAAGTAAGAAAAAACATTAAGATTAAAATCACTGTCGTATTTCCAGAGCTCTACTCTGATTTAGGACAAGCACTGGGTTGTTTTTGCTCCATCAATTCTTCTATTACATTATATATAAATATTCTATTACAATTCTTCTACAAAACTACCCAAACAGTTAAATTCATGTAAAACACAAAACCAGAATGCTTCTGAGGGATAAATGCAGCTGAAAAATATTCGGGCACTACAGGCTTGAACTGCTACTTGAGTACAAGAGCAGTCAAGATTTCTTGACCTCTACCAAAGAAATAAATATTTTTTAGTACCAAGGGGCAAGTGTGGCAAATAAGGAGATCCCAAAGAATGTCAACAGAGATATCCACTTGAGGGAATGTATTGTCATAGTGGGCTAAGATGCATGTGTCTCTAGGACAGCTCATCTCTAGTATTTCCTCAGCTGAGTCTACAAAATGGCAAAATGAAAGAGTATCGACTGGATTTTCTTAAATACTTCAGTGTGATCACTGATAAAAGAAATGTTAGCAACTCAGAAGTGTATGCAGAATCCCTCTTCACACACAAAAACTTATTTTTGGGGTAAGCTGGTCAGTATGTTCAAACTCTGGAGTTATATCCCCACAACGTAGCTGGTGTTGACTAAGAGAAGGTCCAGAACCTCCTGAGAATCTGAATTTCATAGCACCTTAAACTTTTTGTTTCGATACCTGCTTAAGCTTACTTTCCGTTCTTGTCTTAAATCTGATTATGTTTACACCAGACTGTATCTTCTTTCCCTTTTTTAATGTCAGGGAATTTCAGAGCCCATCTTTGATTACTTTCCTTTTATATAATCATCCTTGGAAGGAGCAATTCTTGTCTTCTCTTCATAAGAGCTAGAGAGATAAGTGTTCCATTATTTGTGATTTGTCCTATGATTTTTACCCTCCGAAGACTCCATGCAAGTTTTTTTGTGGGATTTTTTTTTGGTGTCATCCCCCCTGTCCCAACAGCCAAGACTACTGTCACAGAACTCCAGTTTTCTTCTTTTTAAACTGGAATTCCAAGGAGTGTTTTTAAAAAGGCATTTAGAGAAAAAGTTTCTGTATATGTTGTGTGGGAGAAGCCAAGAGCCTCCTGTGCAGGAGCAATTAGGCTGAGTAATGTTCTAGCATTTGCCATTAATTTCTTCAGAGCTGTTGCAGGCAGATGAGCTGTTAAGGCAGGCTTCTGTTCTGTTGCACATAGTTGCCAAGTGGACGTCCTTCCGCTTCTCCTTCTGCCACATCAATGCGGCGTTTTGCTGGTGGCCTGCAGCTTCATACCACTGATCTTGATGATATAAACTTAGATGAAGTTGACAAGCCTAAGCAACGTGTGGCACCACCTCCACCACCACCCCCCACTGTTACTCCAGCATCAGCTCATCCGCTTCCTACATCGAATGTTCCACTTGCAAGAGGTCCAACCCTGGCAGTAACACCAGCTTCCCAGGTGATGTCATGATCTGTTTGGATGCACGCACCTCTACCATTCCCCTGCCTGGCCTCTCTCCCCTACTCCATCACCCAAATTATCTGCTGGATCTACCCATCTGCCATATGCAATGTTAAAAGAAGGAGTAAAATGGTTTCATTGTTTCATAGTAGTCAATGCAGTCCGGAGGTAGTTTTATCTTTTTTTTTTTTTTTTTTTTTAATTTAAGTCAAGAGGCTTTTGCTCTCACCTCCCTAATGTACATTGTATCCCTACCACATGCAGGTTTCTAGGGCAGAATGTAGGAATTAAAAAGACAATTTGGAATTGAATTTTTAAAGATCTAAAAGAAAAAAAAAGCAATAGTAGATGGCAGATTTAACTCATAGTTAAATTTAAGGAAAATACCTGTTTAGTGAAAATTACTTTTGAAAGTGTTTCAAGTCATCAAATTGCTTTGTTAAGTGAGAAGAGTGGAGACAAAGAAAATCAGCTTAAAATCAGAAATTCAAACTTTTAAAACCTCAACACAGTATAAATTACCAGTAAAACACTTAAGTGAACAAGAGTTGGTAATCAGGTTTTACTTTTATTGGACACACAGCAGTTAGGGATTTCTTTGAGAAAATATTCTGACTTTCTCCCTATTACAATTGCAGTCCAAAAGAAGATCAAATGTAAGAGATCTTGTGTCAGATCTCACTTTAGGAGAGAAGTGGCAGCTGTTTCATCAGAATTCCCTTTGCTAAGTACTATAGTGGGATTCATGTACTCATTATTATGGCAAAGGATTCTTACTTGTTTCATATGGTAGAAGGGGATCCCATATGGTCAGTTCTTTCCTATACAGTTTTCTGCATGGATTGACTGACTGCATTGTTAGGTTATTTTTTTGTGGTGGTGTTTGGTTTTTTTGGTTGTCTTTTTTTTTTTTTTTTGCATGTGTACTTGGAAATACTAGACTTTGGTTTTGCATGATTCTAGTTGGGATGGGGAAGGATATGCAAATTAATCAGGGGAAACTGGCAGGTTATTTCTGTATGAATAATTGCCCTAGTGTGAAATACAAATCTCTTCTAATAAACTTAGGTAGACCTCTGATAATGCCTAATCTGTGTGGTTTACATGTTTGAAGTGCCAAGAATATGCTAGACTCACTGAAATGGAGATGTCAGGTGTTCTTATGGATAACAGATTTCCCAAGTTATTTGCAAAGTAAAAATGATGTGAAATAACAAAAGTGTACAAGATACTAGCGTTCAAAGGAGAAATACGTTCTCCTAACGCTAACAGAAGATAATTCAGAAAAAAGAAATAATATAGGAACTGCCATACTGGGTCTGACCCCAAACCCATGTGTGTTTCTGGCAGTTTTTCACTGCTAGGTATCTTAAAGAAAAAAGCTTAGTAATTAAAGAAAAAATACATCAGGCAACAACAGCAAAAAAATAACTTAGCCTTCAAAATTGATAGGCCAGTTTTCACTGAATACGATTAGTGTATATGAGGAAAGAACTAAGCTCTTAGTAAAGTATCAATAATGAGTCAAAGCTGCTTTGTTTCCAAGTAGATAACCCAGTATTCCTGATATGGTTTTGGACATGGAAGAAAAATCAGAAGCTGGAAGATTTATCCTTGCTGCTTTTTAAAAAGTCAATTTTTAACACCGCAGAAAAGCAGAAGCAGTGCATTTATTTGACTCCACTGATAAAAGATCTTATGTTTATGCCTGCTAAAGCTGAAAATAAGACAGTTGTTTTGTCCCATAAGTTTACTTTTCTAATATTACTCAAACTGGTCTATCTTCTCTATGTTGCTAAATTTTGGGTTTTTTTCCCCAGATCATTTAATTTCAAATTCAACTCAAGGAAATAACCTGACAAAAGAAATGAAACCCTGTCAAATACATTCTTAACAGCTAACTAGTAAAATATCTGGTATAAATCGATCTGTTTTTCAAAATTATGATTAGCTGTATACTTTATACGAACCTGGTACTAAGTCTCTTACTGTTTAGGTTGTAAGAAACACCTCCCATGTTGGCAAAGTATCTTCTGCGTCAAGCAATCCGCTGGTATGTCATTTGCTGTTAATGATGACTGTAATTTTAGGTACTTCCCATGTAATGCTGATGTCAAGGGTTTGACTCTACGTGGTTTATTTATTTAAAATTCAGCACTTGCATTCATGCATGTGGACCCTTTGCTATGTTCCAAGATACCTAATACAAGGTGGTGGAAGTGACTCCTCATGGTGTGAGGACTGCATATTTCAACACTTTAGCAACATATGGTCCATGTTTGCGTGTTCTGTATGTCGTGGAGCATACACTTTGTTCTTCTGTCAAGACAGATAAAAGGAGGTAGGACCAAACTATTTTAAACATAATGGGTGCTAAGAAGCAAGCTTTCTTCTCAGAAGAACTCACGTTTGTTTGATAGCTCTTTGCACTGATTTTGATTCAGGATGGCTGGATGTTAATTTTCTCCATTCTGAGGCACTCTAGAAAAGTGTACCTCTAAATTGTGCAACTTTAGGAGAAATCATCCAGTTCCAGAGCGACTTTAACAAGTTGATATCTGTGAGCCTGCTGATTCTTCTAAGACCAGAAAGCATAACAATAACAATATACTTTGTGGTGCGTGACAACATTAGTTGAGGGATATACACAGGGACTTTCAAAGATCTAATTCCAACACTTTTTTCTTAAATTATTTAAAAAAAGAAGGGAGAAAAAAAAAAGACAAACAAAAACCACTCCCCAAATTCCCTTTTTTTTTTTTTAAATAGTGGCTTAACCAATTTGCTGGAAGCAATTCAAATAATTTCAGAGGATACAGCTTGTACTATATGAATGGTATCTGGAATACATCACATTTCCTATGAGAAACATTGGCAAGTGTGTGCTGAGAGTTTCTGGGGTTAAGTCAGAAACTAAACCCACAGGGCTCAGTTTTGAACTCTTCTCTTGAATAAAACTGTGCTTGACGTCAGTGGGAGTTTTGACTGAGTAAAAAGTGCACAGTCGGGTTAGTACGTGCTGGTTGATTAGGTCTCAGATGCCTCTGGGTATCTGTACTTTCTAGAGTCAAGGGTAGGTAATTAGTGTGGCTAACCCTTGCTAAGTCCGGATAAGTTAACTTGAAATTCTTTACAGAAAGCTCAGTGCTGCAGTCCTGCTGA